GAGAGGAAAAAATGCCTTAATTTTTTATGTATTTTATCATGTGGAAGTTTATCAAAACACAGTCATATCATCACCAAATCAACATTTTCTTATCATGTTCATCCGTATGCATTGATATATACAAAAATGGGTTTTGATTTATGTGTGCACCAACTATCGGGGAAAAACTTCATTTTAATGCTTTCCCAATGATTGAGCATTTATTCACTCAATCATTGTGTAGCATCTAATTGTCAATAAACAATTTATCAAATACTTTTCTATGTTTTAAAGACAAATAAACTACAAACATCATATATATACTTAAAGCGCAAGGGGGCATAAGAAAGGAGAGACGTGGCCGCTTGGAGATGGAAAAAAGCATCTACACGTGTGTAGATGACCCGATTTGTGAAAGTCATTGGAGGCGAGAAACGTGTGTATGAGTGAATAGTTTTTAACCATCGGATGCTTTTTTCCATCTTGCTTCCAAACTAGTGGACAAAGTCCGGTGCTTGCTTTTCATGCTTTTAACCATTGGATGCTTATCCATCACTTGCAAGTATACTGACGAGACAGGATCTGCTCCTCACATATGGGCATCTCACATGTACATCCACCGTGCATTGATAAGATCTCCCGTGAATAATAACTAATATTCATGTGAGACGGATACATTTGCAGCTACCACGAATTAGGATCTGTGCCTCACATAGGAAGCTTCTATGTGGATCAGTAGTGGTGGATTTCATCAGAAGATAAAATCTCAGATAAGGGGAGAATCAATGGCACTTTGGCATTTTTATTACTTTTTAGAGGATAAAATCTATAAAAGTGAGTTGACTTAGATTGAGTAGAAGATTTAAGAGTAATACACTTCAAAGTTTTATCAATTCTGACATGATCTATTGAGATTTATTTATTTTTGGCGGCAATGCATTGGTATTAGTTTAATGACTTTGCCAATCAAGGTGGCAGCAATGCATTGGACTGATCTAAGTCATATGATCCAATAGAAGTTGAGGCATTTTCTTGACTTGTGAGTGAGGTTTTCTGTAATTCTCTCTTTTTTCTTTCTATCTCAAAAGAAATTTCATGGTTAGGGTAGAAAAAACAATCAGATTTTAGATGTTTGAGGGTGGATGAAGTCCTCCCCCCTTTTTCTTTTTTCTAAGTTTTGAAAATTTGCCAAAATCAAAATAGTTACCACCTCTGAAATCAGCCAATCAGTATTAAATAAATATTTAGCACCAACCAGAACAGTTGTTGTGGTCTGTGAGCCTTCCAAGGTTTTAAATGGTTTCGGAAGAGTTCCGATATATGGAATAGGACCGATATGTATTATGTATCAGTAGAATTTAATTTTCCTCTCCATTTTAAATTTAAATTTAATTTATATCTTCTCTCTTTCATTAATATCAATTTTAATTGCCTTAAAGTCTTAGACATCACTAAATGCTAATATAATTTAATTAAATGCTCATTTAAGTTACCTTTAATTATATTATTTAATATATCATTAAATATTATTTTAAGTCAAATAACTTTTTAAAAATCACAAACCAAAGGTAAAAAGTTTTGAACTCAAATCATTTGCTTACAACACTAATTAATTAAATATTATGCCAACCTCAATTACTTATCAGAATAACATGTTTTTTATAGTTAAAGTAATCTTTCTTGTCTTGGTGGATGTTTCCCAACATATAAATTTGATTATTAATATTTATAAAATAATAAAATGGATACAAGTTAAATTTATTTATTAAAAATTAAGGAATATATTAACTTGTTTACATAATAAATATCATATAAACCTATATATAATAAATATTAACTAATAAATGACTTCAAAAAAATATTAACTAATAAATATTAGTATGTATACACATACATTTTAGTTCTTCTATTATTTTTCAATGGTTACTAATTATATCCCAATACTTCATATAAATCATTAAAGAATGATTTTTTATGTTTAAATAAATGAGTTATAATCACATAAAACTCATTTTTATTATTGTTCATATTTTTTAAAGATTTTTTGAATTTTCTAGTGTATCCATGTAAATCTTGATTTTTCATCTGTATCTATACGTTTCCAAAGCGTATCTTGATAGTTTCTTAAAATTAACTTTTCGATACACCTTACATTTCCGATACTTTGAACCTTGAAGCCTCCCTTTCTTTAATTAAAAAGTGTTCAAAATTACTTACTAAATTAATAAAATTATAGTAACTATTTTAAATAATTACAATAATTATTTAACAATAACAAAAAACTAAATGATAACATATCTGAGTTAAGATAACATTTCCACCGCATGGAACCTAATGAGGTTCCACATGTAAGGGGTCCACCTTCATTAAATAAGTTGGCAAACAAGTTTGAAGTGTAAACATTATTCGAGTGATTTGTTAGATGATTTTGGGCATTTGCATAACTACAACCTCATGCCACGTGCCATTGTTTTAATAGATAAATATTTTTTTTATTATCTGTATTTTTTGACATTTCAAAGGTGATTGAAAAAAGGTGACAATGATTTTCCTTGGAGAGAGAGAGACGGGGGGGGGGGGACTTCGACGCTCACAAGATAGGATTTTGGGTTTTCTGCATATAAGGGCAATTTTTTGCCTTATATCAATAAAAGATAATATTTTTATAAAATAATAAAAATAAAGGTAATTTTTTTTTGAAAAATATCCACGAAGAGCAATGATACTGTTCATCCTCCCCCTCTACCCTCCCTCTCGTGGTGGAGGCCGGAATTTCCTCTACAGCTCTGGTGATGAGATTCTCGTTGAGTATATTAAGAAGAACGGCCACGGAAGCTGGAGATCACTTCCTAATCACGCAGGATTGATTATTCCATCTTCCTTTCATTTTCTTCGCCACTAATGAGCATTCCATCTGATCTGTTCAGGATCCTAGCGGTTTAAGACTTGAAATCTGAATGTTTCATCAATACCTACGAGGGTTTCTTTATTCGTTTTCCTCCTTTTTTTTTTTTTCTAAAATACATTTGGATATGATTGATCAAAGGCAATGAAAGAACTTAGTATCTCTCTATCTATTACGACTTTGAAGAGTTTTGTCCCACTCTTTTCCAGGATTGAGTGAGTTGTGGTGGATCGTATCGGGGCGACTAATGAACAAGTAAAACGAGTCGTCCGAGTCGGTTTAATCTCGGTGCTAACTGCTGAGCATCGTTATCCAAATGTCATACACCATTATATCGACACGTTTAAGATGTTTCGAAATGCTTTGAACACTTGTTTTTTTTTTTGGTTAATCCGATATGCATGAACCATGAGGATTCCGGATCTGAAACCCAATTACGAGTAAACACATTAGTTGGTGTAATCTGAAAACAGTATGAATCGATGACGTGTTTACTTCCGATTGAATTTTTTTAGTCCGTTCTCTACTTGTTTGCAGTCATTGAAAAATGAAGATGAATCACCAAAGTTGCAGAGGGAATTCCGGCCTCCATCACCAAAGGAGATGATCAGTGTTATTACCCTTTATTGATATTTTTCAAAAAAAGTTATTTTATTTTTGTTATTTTATAAAAATATTCAGGGCAAAAAGTTGCTCTTATCTGAAAGAAACCTTAGGATTTTTCTTAAAAGTTAGTTTTATTGTGTAAGAGAGATAGAGAGGTGATTTTTCAATTGTGATTTTCCTTCTTGTAGGAAATTTCATAAAAGTTAAGTTAATTTGAATGATGATAATTATTTAAGTAATAGCTAAGGTAGTCATTTTATAGTTTTTTTTTTTAAATAGCTAAAATTAATTTACAATTACTTACTAATATACATGAAGAGTGGGGATTTGTTGGGCCATGATTCCCCTTGCTCCGCTCCTAGAGTTGGGATTGAACCTACTCACAAGCCACACTAGACTTTGCTTTTATGTCAATAGAAATGAAAGGACATTTTGTATGAGGTTGCTGCGAAGGCCCACTCTAGGACCGCCAGAATTTTTTGTCAATGCTCGGGGATGCCCCAACTCCCCTCTCCATCCCCGGTTAGCAATGGACCGGGTTAAACAGTTACTACTAGGCTCCATCTGTTAGTACCTAGTATGTAAAAACAACAAATTCCTAAAAAGATGCAGAGGGTAAATGGGCTTAGAAACAATGCAGACAGAGTGAGAAGAGGGAAGAAGAGAGAGAATTTGTAGATAAGAAAATATGGGAAATTTTGTATACTTAGATTATGTTTGATTTGCAGCTCAAAGTCTCACTTTTTTTAATTCTTGCTCATTCTTAATCAGAAACACTCTCCACTTTGTGGTCCACATACCTTTTGCTGCAGTCTTGCAAATGTTTATCACAGGGTTGAAATTGAGTTATTTATCCCAAAAAATGAGGTAGCACATAATTAGTGTAAATTGCTGAAGTTTGATTTTTAATTGAAAATTATATTAACTTCTTCCTTCATTTTTAATCTCCCAATTATTCTATAAAGAATTATTTAAAATTGTTTCCTTTCCTTCCCATTTGAGCACGGGCCCTTTCTGCTAGTGTACAATTAAACGAAGTTACAACTCATGTTTGTTAAATATAACCTATCAGCCTCCGTGATTTTGCGGGTCACCCGCATCCCTGAAGCAAAAAGTAAACATATAATCTAATCTAAGTGAGCAAGTTGACGTGGCAAACCTAAAGAAGGAACGCTTTGCCACGTCATATAACGAGAAGTTGCTTACCAGCTCAACTACAACCCTCGTCTCGCCACGTTTTGCCTAACATCCCTCTCCTCAGGCTAACGTCAAAAACGGCGGTCTCTCAACTCTCAGTTTGCTTACTGTTACGACTTAACGACATTCTAGATCAAAATTACGGATTACCCCTGGGTCCCAACCTCCTAAAATCAGGGAAATTGATACGTGGAACTATGACTTCAACTCGTTGTGCCCTCTCTCTCTCTCTCACTCCACGGTTTCTTGGAGGAAGGAAAATGCATTTTTAATTGCGTTGAAAAGTAGTTAATATCTCCACGCCAATCCGATCCCATTAGGAGCGTTTCTCGAAATAGAAACTCCCAAAATTTAAGTAAGACGTTGAGATGCCATATCTTCAGCAGCTCCTCCAGACTCAATCTTTCCTTCTTCTGACTGTATCTACTCTAGTCAATCATAACTAGTAATATCCTTTTCTCTGCCTTCACTTATAAATACCCATCTTGGCTTCCCTTCCTTCTTCATTGTTTCTTCCTCGAGTTTCTCAAAGATCCCGACTCGCGATTCTGTGTTTTTGTCTTAGAATTTTGGTGCCTTTTTTGATCTTTCTGTTTCTGGGTTTTCTTTGTTAAGTTGATTTTTATAGAAAAAATGAACGCTCTTGCTGCAACGAATCGTAACTTCCGTCATGCTGCTCGTATTCTTGGTTTGGATTCCAAGCTCGAGAAGAGTCTTTTGATCCCTTTTAGAGAAATCAAAGTATGAAACGTTTGTTAAATAATCGTGGTGTGGAGTTTTCGATGGTTTTGGTCTTATGATATTTGTTTTGCAGGTTGAATGTACGATTCCCAAGGATGATGGAACTCTGGTTACATATGTCGGATTCAGGGTTCAACATGATAATGCTCGTGGGCCTATGAAGGGAGGGATTCGGTACCATCCTGAGGTGTTTTTCTTTTAATTTCTAATCTTTTTATTGTTTTTTTTTTAAATTTCCATGTTGTTGATGATGATTTGCATGTTTAAGGGGAAATGGATTCGGGAATAAGGAATCAAAGTTTCCTGGTTTTCGTCTTTTGGTTCATTGAGGCTGTGACCTGTCTTCTTTGCTTGTAGAATTTTGATCGACGACATTGACCATCTCAATAATATATTCTGGTGCTTCTTTCAAAAATTTACTTCCAATCTTCTCTCCCACTTGTTTGAACTTAACTATGTCAGAATTTCCGAACTTCGATCGTGTTTTCCTGAGATACAGTCATATAATTCTGAGAAATAAACCATCTGCATGCAGGGCAGGATTTTGATCACCTCAATCGCATATATATAGGACCATTTAAGTTCCTATGAAGTTTACAGTATCCAACCTTTGCCGGATCCACCAGTGTCATTGGCCTTCCCCATAAACTAAGAAATGGCATTGATTTACTGTAATTAGATGCTATAGCTTCTAAGAGATTTGTTTATTCATCCTGATTCTTATATGGGAAAGGGAAAGAAAATTCTTTTTAGCTGTGTCTATGTTGCTAGAGCAGAATGGATTTGAGTTTCAATCTTATCTTCATTGCTGGGAAATGAAATGACTAGTATCCAGGACTTCAGTCTTTGCTTAACTGTGGAATTTGGGGGCAGTTTTCTGCATTTCTCTGAATTCTGTGATACTGAAAAAAGTTTCTGAAAAGGCAGAATCAAGAGATTCATAGAATTAGCTAATCAAATTCCACCTCCAGTTACAAATTCATCCTAATTCAAAGGTATTCAGCTTAGGGTTGACTGCTTTCCAACATTTTTGTTAGGTGGATGCTTATACGTTATGTTTGACATTCCAGATTTAACAGCATTGACATAACCATTACCTATGCTCCTCATGATGTGCTTGCTATACATGCCTTTTAAGATACAGTCTGATTATATTGTGCTTACTTTTTCTATTATGCAGTGGACACACTTCCTTTCCATATTTTGTCCATGATATATGGCATGAGAAAGACTCAAGACATTAATGATTCTCTTGAACTTATTATGCAATTATTGTTGCATTTTACTTGGTATTGTTAGCATTTTGATGTTTTTAAGCAAGGATACATGTGGCTATCTTTCTCTTAAAGGCTTTAAGGAATTCCTTATTGTTTCTGAACTCTGCAAACCATGTTGGGTTTAATTTCATGCTTTTAGACCAGCAGAATATAACTTAATTTATGAACTTTCTCTGCTCTGTAATTTGAACTGACACACATTTTACTTTTGTTTCAAAGGTTGACCCTGACGAGGTAAATGCTCTAGCTCAGTTAATGACATGGAAGACTGCAGTAGCCGACATTCCATATGGTGGAGCAAAAGGTGGGATAGGATGCAACCCAAAGGATTTGAGTATGAGTGAGTTGGAACGTCTTACCCGTGTCTTCACTCAGAAGATCCATGATCTCATTGGAATTCACAGAGACGTTCCTGCTCCTGATATGGGAACTAATGCACAGGTATACCATACCTTGTTGATGATCTGTATACTGTGGCTTTCTTGAAGTAGTCTATTTTCATAGAGCTAATACTCCTATTGCTTTTCTTGGATTTGTTCAGACAATGGCATGGATTTTGGATGAGTACTCAAAGTTTCATGGTCACTCACCAGCTGTTGTAACAGGGAAACCCATAGTGAGTATTTGAATTTTTCTAAAGTGTAGCAGTTTGGTCAATATATTTAAAGCGGTAATCTTGGAATCTAAAGAATATTAATAAATATCTTTTGTCATTTTAGGATCTTGGTGGATCACTGGGTAGGGAGGCTGCTACTGGGCGAGGTGTTGTTTATGCAACAGAGGCTTTACTTGCTGAACATGGGAAGTCTGTTTCAGATTTGACATTTGCTATCCAGGTAAATCACGTTGTTTGCTTTGTATTTGATTCAATCGGTAGGAAAAAAGTTCTGCTATGAAGGAAATCCATAAATCTTTTGCAGGGTTTTGGAAATGTGGGTTCTTGGGCGGCAAAGCTCATTCATGAGAGAGGTGGTAAGGTTGTTGCGGTGAGTGACATTACTGGTGCAGTAAAAAACAGAAATGGGATTGATATTGAGGCTTTGATTAAGCACAAAAGTGAAAGTGGAAGTTTGAGGAATTTCCAAGGTGGTGACACCATAGATTCAGATGAATTGCTCGTGCATGACTGTGATGTTCTCATCCCATGTGCCTTAGGTGGCGTCCTCAACAGGTTTATCTCTATCTTTCTTTGAAACTGCTTTTGTCTGTTTATGGTTTCTTCTAATTCTAAATATATTTCATTAACATCAGCATCTCTGTTACCATAATTACGTGGTGCCTCCATAACCAATTTTCTCATATATTCCATATATATTACAGACTTCCCAGGTTGGAAGATTCAGATGTTTTTTGTAACAAGCGAAAGATCTTCCCAATTTTTGTGTTTTATTCCTCCTTTTTCTTTTCATAAATTCCATTAGCTTGAATATACATTGACTTAGCTATGATCACCCATATTTTCTCCATCAACTATCAATTACTTCTAAAAAAATTTATCTTGCAACTGTTGACTGTTTCTTGAAATATTGTTTCTACCATGTATATGGTCAATGTGTATCCAGCAATTATGCAATCTTGTTTCCATGTTGAAAGTTCATAAGAAGTAATATTTAAATATAATCCTAAATTCTCAACAAAATAAATTTACTATTATTACAAGGCAATCTGTTAGATATATCAGAAAGTTTGTCAGCCATTGCTACACATGTCACCCATTTTAAACAACTTTCTGCCACATTAGCCATTATAATTGCTCTACTCAGATCCAAACACTGACATCAGATTTATACATAAAAGGATTCTAACAGTGTTATTTGTACTTAGCCATTATCTAGATTGGCTGATGTATTGTTTGATTTTGAATTATAGGTATTATGGTTTACCACAACCTTGATTTATTTCAATTAAATTCTTTTCTTTATAGGGAAAATGCTACAGATGTGAAAGCCAAATATATAATAGAAGGAGCAAATCACCCTACTGATCCCGAGGCAGATGAGGTAACATTGGTTTGGGGCCATCAACAGTAATTAAAATTACAGTTTGTGCTAATCAGAACTAGCTAATGTCAAATATTTGCAACAGATTTTGTTCAAGAAAGGGGTTGTTATACTCCCTGATATATATGCCAATGCTGGGGGTGTGACAGTGAGCTATTTTGAGTGGGTTCAGGTACTTAAATATTTGGTGCTCTTCATAATTTCTGTTAGAAAAAAAAATCATATCAACCTATTGAGAATAAAAAATTCACTTATTTGCTTTTACAGAACATACAAGGTTTCATGTGGGATGAAGAGAAGGTGAACAAAGAGCTTCAGAGGTATATGAGAAGGGCTTTCAATGACATCAAGATGATGTGTAAAATTCATGACTGCAGCCTTCGCATGGGAGCCTTCACATTGGGGGTAAATAAGGTTGCACGTGCCACCCTCTTAAGGGGTTGGGAGGCATAAACAAAAATGCCTCTGGTTTTTTCTCATTAGATTTTTTTTTTGGTTTTTCTCATTAGATATGTCCCTAGTTAAAGGAGAATGTAGTTTGATGTTTTCCCTAGAAAATTTTCTTTTTTTTTTAATTTTTATGGCTTCAGAAATGGAATTATGGGGCTATTAATTAGATATGCCTCTAGTTAAAGCAGAAGGTAGCTTTTTTTTTTGTAATCAAATAGAAGGTAGTTTTTTGGTAATAAAGCAGAAGGTAGTCTGATGTATTCCTTTCCTTACAAGTTTTTTATTTCCTTTTCAATTTTTATGGGTTTAGAAATGGAATTTTGGGGCTATTCATTTTATGCATGGATTTGGGGAATATTTATTGTACACTATTCAATATGAAAGGACGCCCAAAGGCCCCAAATATAAGGTACCAATGGACATTTAAAAATTGGGTGTAACCAAGTCTTCAAAATTTCAAAATGTTACTCCCAATTAATTAATCTGGACTTCTGGAGTGGTACATTATCATTCATGCTTTATGGGCCACAATCATGTGAAAGGCGAGTAATCCTTCAAAAGAAGTGTCAGTAATCTGGGGTAATTTCGAGGTTACTGGTCATCCAAGGTATGCCCAATAGATATAAACGGTCTGGATCTTCCAATAGATGGCCATGCGTAATAATTTTAGAACTTCAAGGCGTTTTTGATTGATAATCTTTGGATTCTGACACTTTCGTCTTTTACCTCCCAAAAAAAAAAAAAAAAAAATTCTGCCACTTCTTCATTAAAATCAGTCTACCCAAGAGCTTTCAAACTGCTACTGTTGCTACTGAAGGATAAATTTTTCAAGTCCCCACATTAGGTTTGCTTTCTACCTTTCCATCTTCTTTGAAGCCAAAAACAAGAACGGCTTAGCAGCAAGAGGAAAGTGCAGGAGATATTCATGGCCTCCATGTCAATATCTGTCTCTCTCTATAGAGCTTGCAGTGGTAATCATGTCATCCTGAAAAAACAGTCTCGAGCCAGAGCCAGAGCCAGATGCTCCTTCGAAACCAAGAAGGAAACCCATGTTGTCGTGGATGCTGACGACAAGAGATCGGTTGATATAAAGCAGAAAGAAAATGGTGGTGTACGCATCAGTGGTCTAAAGGATGTCAAGGGCGACTCTATGCTTGAGGTGGACACTGTTTCTTCTGTTCCAGGGTTTCGTGACGAGAGGTGGAAAAATGGGAACTGGGACCTGAATATGTTCGTGAAAGATGGGAAGATGGATTGGGATGCTCTGATAATTGCAGGTGAGAGGCTTCCCAAGCACTTCACTTGGCCATTAGGCCAATTTTCTTACATTCAGAAGTGGTGCCTTCTGCTTTCTTTAAAGATTTATATATATATTTTTTCTATTTTCTAGCTAGTAGGCCTGTCTCATGAACAGATAAACCTAAGAACATTTCTACTGTTAGGTTCAATTAGAAAGTGGAAATGCTTTCTTCAGTGTCCTTGATCCCATAAATATTAGCATCAAGTGGATGCATAAATCAATTTTCAAAAACTAAAAGTGGAGTTATTGCTCTCATCTGAGTTGCATTAATAAAAGTTATTAAAATGCCTCAATGACTCTAAAGTTATGGCAAAATAGTAAGAGAGTTGGCCATGCCTTCCTGGTAGCATAAAATCAGTTATCTTTCTTGCTCTGTTTGAACAGGAAAGAGTACAGAGGACAAAAATATTTCACGGCTAGGGTTATAGATCTACATCTACTCTATTGACCAACCTCATTGGAAACCAACATCATTAAATTTTCTAGATTGGATCTTCTCCATATTTTCCAATTGTGTAAAGAGTTTGATAGATTGGATTGTTAAGTTCGTTTCATGTATTTGTGCTGAATTATCATGTTTGCCCCATCAATTCTAGGAGGTTTTACCAATAGAAGTGTCAGTAGAGTAGTATTGCTGAAAAATCTAGTGGTTTATTGTTACTGAACTAAATGCAGAAGAAAAGCATGAGACATTTTCCAGACAAAATAGTGAAGATATATATAATCCACTAAACAAAATTTATATGTATACAAATATTTCTTTTCTCTGTTTGGCTTTTAGAAGCAAGAAGGAGAAAGTTTCTTGAAATATACCCAGAAGCAGCAACAAATGAAACTCCAGTGCTCTTCAGGAGCTCCATCATACCTTGGTGGGCATGGATGAAGTTGTATCTTCCAGAGGCCGAGCTGCTCAATGGTAGCTAAATCACAAACCTCTCTCAGTTTACCTTCTTTATGCTCAGAATTTTTCTCATCATTACTTGTTTGCAGGTAGAGCAGCAATGGTAGGATTTTTTATGGTATATGCGATAGATGCTTTAACTGGATTAGACATGGTGGGCCAGACAGGCCATTTCATTTGGAAGGCAGGCCTCTTCATGACAGTCACTGGAATAAGCATCCTTGGATGTACCAAGGATTTTGGGAACTTGAAGAAGCTAGCTGAAGAGGCTACCTCCTATGATAAGCAATGGCGAGCTACATGGCAGGACCAGAATGCAAGCAATGGCAATTTAGAACACAACCAGAAAAGCAAGTAAACTGATCTGGCAGATAAGAAAGAGTTCTAGTTTGAGTTTCAAGGTTTCTTAAAGCCAGGGTGTATTGATTTGTATAGAGTATCAAGTTTCAGCTCCATGAATGTGATGATAAGGGTACAGCACTAGAGTTTGGGGTTGTTGAATCAACACTCTTTTTTTTTTAATAAAATTTAGTTGCTTTGAGTGAGGAATTATGAATTTCTTTTTCAATCCATACAAAAGAGATGGGGAATCAGTTATATCAGATCAAATTTTTTTATATATGAATCCTTAGTAAAAACCCAAGTTATGTAGAATATAGAGATATAGAAGACAGTCTACATGATGTCCAACCTCTGATTAATCACAAAGTCATAATTTGGACGGTTGGATGGTAATTCTGCTTTTAGTACATAAATGATGACACTGTTATGTCATGAAACTTCTTCTCAACCAGGAAGTCGCTTTCATTGGGTGAACACCAGGTAAATGCATTAATTAAGGCTGCGTTTGGTTTGAAAGAAATAGTAGGGAAAGGAAGGGAAACCTTTACACACCTTGTATAGGTTTCCCTGCCTTTCCCTATCTTTTCCTTCAAACCAAACAGTACAAAGCAGCCCCTTTCAGGGCTGACTGCTTGGTTGTTATAAGGTGACCATCAAGGGCAACTAGAGGTCCATGGTTTCTTAAACACTTGTTCAGATGGATGCCCAAGTCAGCCAATGAGATTGCAGATCTACTTGTAAGGGATAGGGTTGTAAGATCAGAATTGTGATGGGGTCTTCTCTTGTTCTGTAGTTTTGTAATTCTTTATTCGGTGATCTCAGTCCTATATTGTATTTCTTCCTTGTTCATTATTGGGACATAGGGAGCTTTCTTTCATTTCATTATATTAGTAATAATATTCTTTGGTTGTTAATTTGTTAGTGATAACAGAGGAGAAAGGCAATGAGCTTTGAAGGGGACATAAATCTAGCCTCAAAGTTACTGCGTCATGCAAACCAAAATCATGCACGATGCACCATAACCAAAATCCAGGGGGACTGGCTTGTCTCATCAAAAGGATCCTGACACTTTGTGGAAGATCATTACTGGACTCTGTTTTCATGTACATCCACACCAAAATCAGCATGGAAACTAACCACTCTGAATTATGGCAAATCAATGAGACATTTATTTTAATGAAATCCTGAAATCTCTATGGCACCTTCAACTCTTTGATCATGAACCCCTCTTATCTCCCAGTTCCTCACTTCCTGTTGCACATTCAAACACAACTCCATCTCCCCCAGCAACGAGGTAACCCCAAATTCCAAGTCAGCTGAACTGGTTCCTTGACTGTCAACACAACTCTTTGCTTTGTTTAGTTCCAAAGTTCCAATTAATTACTTATATATCCATGATGAGAAAAGTCGAAGAAATACTTAAAATACAATGGAAGAAGCAAAAACCTAATCTCAGGATTGAATCATCATTACCCTCTTAATAACACTAAAAGATATTACAGTGTCCCAAAAATATGACCATGAGAAGTTAACAACAAGATGGATTGACACACTGAAAGCCTATTCAGTCTTTCTTGGAACCATTAGCAGTCTCATCCTGCCAGGTTGCTTGCCACTGCTTGTCATAGAACGTTGTTTCTTTCACAAGTTTTTTAAGAGTCTCTAAATCCTCGTTCTTTCTGATAAGAAGAACTCCAGATACAGCTATAAATAAGAGAGTTTTGCAGAAAAAGTTCCCCATTTGGTCAACAAGACCTACTCCAGTCAAGCTATCTACAAAATAAGCCATGAAGAACCCTATCATTGCAGCACGGCCTGCATACAAGAACAGAAAGTCAATGGTTATCACTGGATTATAAAAAGTGTCCATCAAATCCAATGATCAGAATAAACAAAGACTAGAACCAACCATTAAGTAGTTCAGCTTCAGGAAGGTGGAACCTTTTCATCCATGCCCACCAGGGAATAATTGAGGTGTCAAAGATTACAGGGTCATCATTAGTGGATGGTTCTGGGTTGTTTTCAAGCCACTTCCTCCTCCTGACCTCTGAAAAGGATTAGCCAAGATGCTCTATGAGAAACCAAACAAGCCTGGAAGTAAGAGTTTTGGATCAATAAGAATAAATATGACATGCCACAAGATCTCAAAATTTAAGAATGTACTTCCACTACTTTCATATCATACAAGATAAAGATGATGTGTTCATATCTCCCATCTTCATCCTTCAACGACAGAGAAACCCATTGAAATATCCAAGGTCACAATCAGAATAATAAAAAATTGATAAAAAATCAGATACATCTTTTTTTTTGATAAAGGTAAAAAATCAGATACATCTTAATAGTTGCATTTGGCACAAAAAAAAAGGAACTTCCCTAAACATTTTCAAATGATCTGTAGATTCAATTGAGTTTGCCCTAAAATCATTCAGATCAAAATAAACAAAAATCAAAGGATCTATATAAGCTGGTTTGCCAATAATCATGGTTGCAACTCCCCCCCTCAATCAACCCATAACAAGTGGATTTATCCATTACTTTCAGTTGCCCAATTATATAAAGCAATTCTTAAACGTGTCATGCTTTCAAATTAAGACTTATCAAACAGTCCACTTGTTAAATTGCAACAATCAGGACATTCTAAAGGATCATAGGATGAAAATTGCAATGAACAGATGATATTAATTGTTCAATAAATCCCTTTTTCTGCAAAGCAGTCAGAAGAAGTATCCAGCAGTCAAGTTAAAGCATCATCAATCTAGCAGTCTCCAGGCCGTGAGCAGTAAAACCTCGACAGAAATTAAACCAATTTCTCATGGAGATGAGGCATTGTCACTCCGTATAGTGGAAAAGAATGCTGTATTTCTAATTCTCATAGGTCCTGAGTCCGTCTACCAATGCCAAGTACAAGAGAACACGAGAAAGATAAACAGGAAGGAAATAGAAAAATGAACCATCAAATTAACCTAAATTACTTCCTGGAATTGTTCATGAATCATAATTCATAAATACCTCCAGCTTCCAAGGAAGCAGTGCACTAATGAAACCACCGGAAATAGGTGTATCCTTTCTACGATAAAAATCTAAATTATCAGAGTAAGTTCTTAGTTCTGAGTTTCCGACCAAATCTGGATGCAGTGATAGCATCATTTTGCCTCATTGTGCTGCAGTGGGCTGCCCTTTTATATTTGAAAAAAGCCCATAAAAACAGCTCAAATAAATATATTACCATCTGCAATAACTAGGGAAGATTAAGAGTAAACAAATAATCAAGATAGAAATTCCACCTAGAAGTAGAAAATCGAGTACAAGTCAGAAACACAAAATAAGTACAAAGAAAAAAAAGGGAAAAGAAACAAGAAGAACCCATCGTAGTATCTCACCTGCATCAATAACTGCATCCCAGTTGGTCTGCCCATCTTTTTTAAACTGCTTCAAATCCCAAGTCCCTGCGACCCATCTGGGGTCTTGGAATCCGGGAACAGGCTTCAACACCGACGAGGCTGCTCCATTCGACCCAATAGAGTCCTCCTCTTTTTCCAACTTTTGCTCAGTCTTAGCAGGGGAAACTTCCTCCTTCTCTACTTTCTCCTCCTCTACAATGGTAGCAACTGAACTTACCACTCCAGTTTCATTATCCGATGCCTTAGCAGCCAACAGACACAGACTTCTCTTGGAGATGAAAGAGAGAGAAGGCTTCTGAGCAAAATGGGTTCTTGATGAAAGTTTGGCAGGGAGGGTCGGAAGATGAGAGGGAGAAGGAGAAAACAAGGCCATGGACATGTCCTCGGTGTAATCACAACATACTCCGCTGCTGGCTATCCTCAACCTCTCAAATGAGTGTCGAATTATATAAATGATAAGCGAAAGTGAAAAAGGTACAGAGTTACGCTGTGCGATTGGAGATCGGATTTGCTCCTCACAGCACTTGAAACCGAAGATCCGAATGAATTCGGCTTTGTTGTCACCGTTCGAACAACCTATGGATTGGGAATATCTCCCATGAAATAAAGCACAGTAGTACAGGGAATATGTGATCACATCTCAATATCTCGTACAAGGCGGGTCTGAGTTCGGATCGCCAGCCAACAAAATACATTCCGACAATCCAACAAAATACGGTGGCTTTCCGATACGCCCCTACACGGGTTGTATTGTATCGGATCGGTCGATCAGCCATTGGTTAAGAGAATAATCGGGTCTTAAACTGATTCCTCTGAATCGATTTAAAAAAAATATATATATAAAAAAATGCACCGATATAAGACATACCGGCCCATGTCAATATTTAGAATCTTGGTCCCATTTTTATAGTAGATCCCAATCTCACGGTGAGATGTGTGATGTTAGATGAAATTATTAGAGGGTTAGAACGTGTTTTTTGACATAAGATATCAACTCGAGAAGTCCCACTTTTGAGTTCACATTCGCCTCAGACAACATTCCAACCATGTACTGCGAACATTCTCTTTTTTCAATAATGCATTGGGAAATCTCCAAATCCAATCCCCCCCCTCTCGGCTCGGACCATTTGAGTTCGGTGAATAATGGGTCATGTCGAGATGTACCCATTATCCAATATACGACTAACAATGGCCTGTTATCCCATCTCAAGATTACCCTATTAACAAAGTTAGGAATGACAATTAGGCGAGTTTGGGGTGTAAACCGTATTCTTCGTCCTTGACTTTAACTTTGAAACAAATCTCTATCCTTCACCTTGGTTCCTATCACGGATAAAAGTCACCCTTCATCTTCCATCTCCAATGAAGGCAAATTTTCCGTAGGGCCCCAATCTCAAAATTTTTTAATTAAAAGTATTTTTTGAAAGTAGATTTATTTAAAACAAAGAAACATTTTAAAACATAAATAATATTTTAAATATATATTTTCATATATATAATATAAATAAGACTTCACTTCACTCCCCATCCTTGACCTTCTCCCTGATCAGACATCCCTATTAATCCCCCTTGCCCCCATCAAATAGACCACCATCATAAGATGGGTAGTTTGATGGATTTAGGGGTTTTTACTGTTCAATCCATCCTAAAAATCCTAGCTCCACTGTACAGTTTGGGGTAGGTGCCAGTTCAGAATTGATGCCAATTCATGGACGAATATGGATGTTATAAGTGGAGCTGTTTATAATTTCGAATTGTTGTAGGTCTGCAGTTCAAATAAAAATTCTGAGGTGTATAGTACAATATAAAATTCCATTAAGTTTTTTAATAGGCCATAGTAAGTTTAACTCATTATTTCAGTTTTGTAAAGGGTTGAAATTGCCAAACTCAATTTTTTTTCAACCATTTGAATCACCTAAAACAAATTGGAATCACATAATAATGTTTATTACATTAACATTACCGAGACTATTTACGAGATCACCATTATAGCACCTCCATCTAGCATAAACCAGCCCGTTGCAATAATTCCCCATGTTAAATGGACTGAGATCCTAAATGAATACTTATCATTGCAAACAAGATAAATATTGCATGTCTAAACAATGATAATAAACTTATATTCACTCAGAATATCTTCTATATCCAGGAGCTAAGTACAAGACTTTCATTTTTTCATCTAGTCAAACCTGTTATAAAATACCCATCAGGGTAGGACCCGGATTGTGGCCCGTCATAGTGGCCACGATCCAGATTGATTGATCTAAATCCAAACACCCAAATTAGAGCTCATTATGTGGGTGTTAGGACTTGAACATCTTCCTAATACAGCCCCTTAATTAAGGAATTTGAAAATCCAATTTAAAGTTGAAATGCTCAATTAATTTGGAAATAATGGGAGTTGTTAATTGGAGAAAATTAAGAGAATTAAAATCTCCTTAATTAGAAAAGCTCTTGAAGGCTGCCTAGTAAGACAAAAAGAGAGGACCCCTCTTCCCTTGGCGTATGGTATGAAATCTCTGACTACTGATCTCATTTTTCAAGCTCCATTAGAGGGCTTCCTATCAGCATTGATTGACTGAGATAGATAGAACACAGAGAGAGATTGTTTTTCTGGCTCAAGGGAATAGTTCTGTCCTCGCAACACTGATCATCGTATTGGTGAGAGACTACTGTTGAATACGACTACATTGGTTTGAATAAGAAGACAACGTACAGGCAGCTGAACTTTGTTTGGAGGGTCAGAGGCTGAATCGAATACACATCGAATTACGAGGACTACAACTACAGTGGTTATGACGTCTGGAGGTATATACTAAACTGATTTCTTTTATTAATTAAGTTGGTCAATCAAAGGTGATTACCAGAGTTGAATATATTGGTTCAGATCTGTATGTTTTAGATTACAGATTAATTCAGTCCATTATGTTTTATTCACCCATAATGGGGACTGACATTCAAATCGGAAACACCTTGACCGACTAACAAAACCATTTTTAGCCAGCACATCAGCACATCATAGCTAGCCCATTTGAAAGCATTCTAACCAAGGGGCTATCATTCATGTTGTTATTGGGCCTCTTATGCGATCTGTGAGGGTGAGAGATGATGTAGTAGCTGATTGCTACTGGATAGATGGAGACTGTGTTCAGTTGTGTGAGGCTATTAACTTATCTTGAATAAACTCAAGCACATCTTGTTGGGCTTCTTAACCATAAAATGAATAAGCCTCCACGCCCTTCTGCCAACAACCTTTCATCTTCCTTTGTTCATAATGCGTATACACTAATAAGTCAAGTTCTTATATCAAATAAAGAAATTCAAATAAGTGAACAATTGTTGTAAACAAACAACAATTCAATGAACCATGGAAAAAAAAGTAATGATACAATGTTCTCATCAGAAACATAATAATCATACAGTAGTTTTGTTAAACATACAACTTATTAGTTGATCTATTTAATGTTTAAATTAATGCAGTATTTGATTTACCAAGTTGTCTCTGAATACATTTTACCCAATACTATTCTCTAGACATGCTATGTGTTCATCAACAACCTTTGCTACACCTTGAATTCCTTAAATCTTAATTCCATGGGTCAAATGACATACTCCTTATGTAGGTGTGCAATATGCAACAATTAGTAATGATCCTATACTGGGTTTTTATTATTTACCAACTTAAGGTAGGGGTGAGCAAGAAAAATCGAAAAATCAAAAAGTCGACCCGAACCAATAAGACCGAACAAAAAATTCCAATTAAGCAAACCGATTGGTATATATATTTATATATTATACATATATGAATGTATATTATATTATCTATATATATTATCATTTATAATATATAATATACAATATATTATTTATTATTTATAATATAATATTTTATATGTACTTCTAATTTTTATTATATATTTATTTACAATATACTTTATAAAGTAAAAAAACCCAAAAAACTGATGAATCAAATTGACGATTAACCAAACTGATCAACCGGTTAACCGATCGGCTTCAGTTTAGTTTTGATTTCTGATTTTTCAAAAATTGGTACTATTGGTTCGGTTTGGAATATAGGCCCACGATTCGGTTAACCGAACCATGAACACCCCTGACTTAAGGTCCTAAGTATTGTCCACCTTATTGAGGAGGCCAAATGTCCTCTCAATTACATTCATGGCTTTGGAGTGCTTCATATTGAGTAATCTCAAATGGGGTGTTAGGCCGGTGTTTGTGCCTCCACTTACTTAAGTGGTATCTTTTCCTTCTATAGTGCATTAGGAATCCATCACTATTGGGGTCACATCACAATACCTTATTTTTAGGAGACCAAATGTCCTCTCAATTACATTCATGGCTTTGGAATGCCTCATATTGAATATCTCAATTGGGGTGTTAGGCCAGTGTTTGTGCCTCCACTTACTAAGGTAGAATCTTTTCCCCCTATAGTGCATTAGGAATCTATCACTATTGGGGTATCCGACATCACAATACCATATTTTTAGGAGGCCAAATGTCCTCTCAATTACATTCATGACATCAGAATGCCTCATAGTGAATATCTCAACTGGGTGTTAGGCCACTGTTTGTGCCTCCACTTACTTAGGTAGTATCTTTTCCCCCTATAATGCATTAGGAATCCATCACTATTGGGGTATCCAACATCACAATAGCAATCAATTTGTAATCTTGTACTTAGGTGATTCTACTTGGATATCATCATCACTCTCAAAACTTAATTCTCTAGATGGCATCTTTCTTCTCCTAATTGTAATGACACAATAGCAATCAATTTAACTAAAAAAAATAATTCCATCAACATGTTATACTAAATAAAAATAATAATGGTAGCCCTTTATTTCTTTTTAATCTTATTTTGTGGTGGTCGAGTCATGTTTTTACAAAACATCAATGTATTTATTCAATTATGAACTACACAATGTACAGGATGTCAACCACTTGAATATAATAAATAACAACTTAAACATATATATATATATATATAGAAGATAGTTCATTCTAATAAACAGTTAGGCACCAATCAGTCCATCATTATAGTCCAGTTACTTAGCTATAATATTTGATACAAGATTAATAAACACACATCCATCAGAAAGAAATAAAACACATAAAGAAAAACCCTTCCTTCAAGCTAGGCTTCCAAGCAACTGGCTCCTTGTCACTATCTGGATGCATACCCACATCTCAGTCTTCACCCCACCATTAGCATATCAATTGAATTTTGTTATATAAATTTAATGAATATTTGTACCAAACTTTAACGACATATTTGACCTCTTATCAAATGAACTATATTCAATTTTCAGAATGATTCACAATGACAGATTTCATCTATTATTAGCAAAGAATAATCAAATTTCACAATGAATTTTGTTATAAATGTATGGATAAGCCAATTGAATTTTGTTATACAAATTTCATCTATTATGAGGAAAACTTGCACTCTCTAGTGTTGTAATTAAAGAAACCTAAGCTTCATGTTGTATAACTATGCTTGTATTAAAAACACAGTTATGGTTTTTTAATAATCCTTTCATTATTTTTCTTTAAATAGTATTTAACCCCTAATATTGTCATCTTGAGATGCTACTAGAAATAAGCTAGAATTTGTTCATTGTTAACTAAATGACCAAGACCTCGGCCCAAGCCCTATCTTAAGCTGGATGGAGGCCCAACATTTGAGGCCCACACTCATCCTAGAGAAAAGAATTAAAGTGCAAAAGCAATTAAACCACGCAAAGCTGGGGTTGGATTAGACTAGGTTCACGTTGGGGTCCATACAAATTTCACCCCTGGTTCTACTGGGCCCTTGAAAAGCTTTTTTTTTTTTTTTTTTCAATGCTATGGTCAAAAAACATAAAAGGTCCTTGTCGATCAAGAATCTTCGGCTTAATTAAATATACATAATTGTCATAAAATAACTAATAATAAGACTGATGGTCACCATTTACCTTCTTAAGGTCTATTCTTTATTTGAATTCTTAGGACAGCATGTGTGAATGTAAGACGTTTTTGACATTCTTGAATTCTCCTTGTGGATTCATAAATTATACCGTCATTTTCAGCTTGCATTGTTCCTTGTAGGGGCGGCCTCTATCCACTCCGTTGCATTGTAAATATAAGATTCTCATCCAACGGCCAATGGGGGAAGCCTCTGTAGACCATGGGTCTATTAATTCCATGATCCTTCATGTACTGTTGACAATATTCAACCAAGCTTGAGTATTTGATGAATCAGTTGTGTTGACTACTGCAGGTGCCAGGAGATGGATCGGAGGTTGTTCCAAGCTGCTCATAGAGGGAATACAGCCACCTTGCATCAGCTACTGGAAGAGGATCCTCTTATCCTTGAAAGAGTTGCCTTGGCTCCGGTTGCAGAAACACCTTTGCATGTAGCTGCTCTGGCTGGGAAGACCGAGTTTGTGAGCGAGATTCTTCGTCTAAGGCCTGAATTTTCGAAGGAGCTGAACCAAGATGGTTTCAGTCCTCTTCACATGGCGTCGGCTAATGGGCACGTAGAGGTAGTGAAGGAGATGCTGAAGTTTGGTAGTGATCTATGTCTTGTTAAGGATAGGGACGGGAGAACTCCTCTTCACTGTGCGGCCATCAAAGGTAGAGTTGATGTTATGATCGTATTGCTCTTGGCTTGCGCAGAGTCTGCTCGGGAGGTAACGGCTCGAGGAGAGACTGTGCTTCACCTTGCTGTGAAAAACCATCAGCTCGAAGCCTTCAGGGTACTGGTGGAGAGTTTCAGCCATGAGTGGCTCCTAAAAGCTAAAGATCGAGAAGGCAATACGGTTTTTCATCTAGCTTCATTTAGAAGGCAGAATCAGGTAAATTGATGATAAACTTGTTAGTGAATAAAAACCTATTCAGTGACCTCACCTACCAACTTAACCTTTTACGTTCAACTGTTCCTTCTTGTTTGACCATGTGGTTTGGTGTTTGATGCTCAGCATCCCATTATAATTAATCAAATTTGAGCACAAGGTATAAATAAAAAATATTCATGGATCTCATCCAACAACATAAGCTTTTTTATCATATTTTTAACTCAACTCTACTAAAATCCAAGAAGCTCATGCTTGATCTTGATCCAGTTCAAAATATAGGCTTATTGCAAGCAGCCCGAACCATTAACCACATGGGTGCTGATAAATTAAGGGGATGTTCTACAACCTGAATTATTTTTCTTGTTGCCGGTTTCATAAACAAATCAAAACCATTTTGTTTTTGAAAATATGTTGTTTCTTAAAACAAAAACACAAGAAACACATTCTTGGTTGTTTATGTATTTTTTGTTTCCAAAGTTGAAACCAAAAACATGTTTTTGTTCCATAAATCATTTAATTTCTATAGTAGAGAATTTGTTTTTGTTTTAAAAATTAATATTTTGTTGGTTCCAAAAACATCCATTATTTTTTAAAACAAAACCGACTTGCTTTTCTTTTGCAAACAAAAACAGAAATCAAGAACATATAGTGGTTTTTGTTTTTTTTGCTGATGTGGAGAGTAAAAAACAAATGAAAAAAAAATATTAAGGTGCCCAAAAGTTGTTACTCTGGGACCATAAACAACTGAAATCTAAAATTTATTAATTAAAAATAGGTTGGAGAAGCAGTGAATTGAAGTATTTATATATATACCTTCTGAAATTAATGATTCCTGTGTTTACATATTTATGGGTTAACACATCATATCGTCCAAACTGGACCAGATACATAACCGAAACCGATCGAGTATTAACAATTGGGTTCAAGTTTGCATGAGATTCTCAATCGTGTACTAACATTAATTTAAACTATGCAGGTTATAGAATTACTTCTCAGCAAAAGTATTGTTTCCAAAGTTGAAATAAATGCCAAGAACGCCACGGGTTTGACAGCACTTGACATCTTAGATGTCTTGCAGCAGAGTCGATGCGAATTGGGTGATATAGAAATGGTAGAGATCCTTGTGCGTGCAGGAGCCATGAGATCTCGAGATATCATCATTTCTCCAACCCCTCCTCCTCCTCCTCCTCACCCCTCTCATATTCAAATATATCATAAGAAGAGCCTCTGGAAAGAATTCAGCGACGAGATATTTAAGGAACTAGAAGACTCTGCAAGTGAGACACGGAATTCTCTAATGGTGGTCGCGGTACTGATTGCTACTGTAACCTTTGAAGCAGGAATAAGCCCTCCTGGTGGAAGTTGGCAAGATGGTCTCCAAGAGAATCGCAGTAGTACTGATCACAGTGAACAGATGGCACACCACGCAGGAGAGGCACTAATGGCTTCACAGATGACATGCTTTGTCTCATTCATAATTTCCAATACTGTGGGATTGGAATGGGCTAGATGTCAACTAATGGCTTCACAGATGACATGCTTTGTCTCATTCATAATTTCCAATACTGTGGGATTTCTTATGTCTCTCGTCATAATCTCCTTGCTCACAAGCAAATTTCCTCTGAAACCCTGGCTGCGGCTAGCCGTGGTATCAATGGCCATCACCTATGGATGCTCTGTATGCTTTGTAACACCATTTTACTTGTGGGGTTGGGGTGTTGTATTTCATAGTAAGTTGTTTGTGATGACTGTTGTATTCTTTGGAGCAATCGCGAGCTGGAAGTTATGGTGGCTCAAGAAATGGGCAATGATAATGCATACAAGAAGCARCAACAATAGTTCGGAGCAGGGGCATCGGACTACCTTCGGCCAGCATCTTAGTCGGTTTATACTGTGTTGTACCTCTCATGAAAGTCGAGTTTAAACTCTCTTTCTCTCTAATAATGTTCAGGTAAATAAGGCAATGACCATTTTAGCCATAGAAATCCATTATCAGAAGGGGCATTTTTGTCTCATTCAAGTGTTGGCAACTTTCTCCCTACATGAGAAAGTTATTTACCCACCTAGGAGATGGGTATCACTTTCTTGGGTGAGTGATACCTAGGATAATAAACCTTCACTGTTCCCCACATAAAGCTGAAAAATGAATATGTGATTATTGGTCAATGAGAACTTCCCATTGACCAATTTTCCCCCCTCTCCAAATCCAAAAAACAAACATCCCCTTAGTATAAAATATTTTAAAAATAAGTAGGAAAAACTAAGGGAGGTGTTTTTCAAATGTATGGTTTTAAATCATTGAAATTGTTCTCCACTCTTTTTATATATCATTTGGTTTCATTTAGAAAATAATATAATATTAATTTGCCTTACATGCCTTGTGGTTTGGAACAAGTGAAGTTTGGCTCAACCCATTGCCCAGTGGATTCATGAAGCCAACTGGCAACAGTTTGGTTAATCCTCTTTTAAGTGAAACAAGCAAACAATTTCTTGGTTTTTTGAATCTGAGACCGGATCTGCTCCTCACACAGGGCGCTTTACACTTACCTCACACGCACATCCTACCATGCATTGGGAACATCTCCCATACTTATAAGTTATTATTCACGGGAGATGTTCCTAGTGCACGGTGGATGTGCCTATGAGGCACCCATGTGTGAGGAGTAGATCCCGTTCCTATGAATCTCAAGTCCAAGTACAAAAGCAGAGGCAAAGTGACTTCTAACTTCCATTTCTATTAGGTAAAAAAAATAAACAAAGATAAACATTAAGCGCTACAAAGGGAAATATCACCACATTGTCCCTCCACGTTGGAGAGTAGGAGTAGAGTCCAGATTTTCTCCTCACATAGCGCACCTCACACAGACCTCACAGTACTTGTAGCCACACATTCAGAATATCTCTTTTGTATTTGCTTATTGTCATTCATGAGAAGATTTTCTATGCATGCATGGTTGCAACATGCTATGAGGTTGGTGTGAGATGGAGTGCAAGTCAGGCGGGTTGGGCCGGGTTTATGGTCAACCCAGGCCCGACCCTAAAATTTGGGCTTAAGGCCCAAGCTCGAGGTCATGCCCGACTTTCCCAACCTCAGCCCAACCTACCCTATAATTTGATGCATTCGGGTTGGTCAATGAACCCACTCTTAAAATTAAGCATAGATAAATGTATTTATGCAAATATATATACATATATTTATGTATGTATGCTAATATGTATGCAAAATATCTATACAAATGTTATATATACAAATATGTATGTATACACACACACACACACACAGATATATATATACATATAAATGTATATAATTGGGTTGGGCTTGGGCCCAAGCCTAGCCTGAGGATCGAAAATCCAAGCCCACCTCGTGTAAAACTTTGGGTTGGGCCAGTTCAGGCTTGGGCTAGGCCCGCCCAAGTTGCACCCCTAGGCGTGAGGCGCACTCTATGAGGAGAAAATTGAATTTGTTCGAGTTGAATTATTGTGGAGGTCACTCTTGTGGCCTCATTTTCAAGAAAGGTCTGCCTGCAATCTTAGAGAGTACTAATTATTGCCTTTCCAATTCTAAAAGGGGTTCAACCTTTGTTTTGGCATCCACAAAAGAAAGACAAGCATCTAATTTGGTCCAAAATTTCCCTAAGAGTGGATCAAAGGTTGCCTGAGGTAACATTAGAATTGAAGAATACTCAGCTTTCTAGTTTCCATCTAGAGGTGGAGGCAAAGGAAAAGTTGTTGATTAGGAGGATCCTCTCTACTTTGGATCATGATGAGGCCATATATCCATAGTAATCATGTTGTAGAGCATGGTACTATGGTCAGGGAAGGAAAAAAGATGTACATATACATTCTTAGAAATAAAGGAAGTAACCCATGACTTGGATTCATCGCTTAAGATTAGTGAAGGAAGAAAGAGGAGCCCTTCCCTTAGTCGAACATCAGTGGCTGTCAAGGTGCAGCACTCCCACAGCATGCAAGACCCCACTGAGTTCCAACAAGAGGTAGATATTTATAGCTAGCTGATGAATGTTTGATTGAAGCATCAAATCGACTTTGACAAGTTAGGGCTGAATGGAGATGATTTCTCTTTATCACTATTGGAGGGTCGATCTGAGTAAGAAGTGCCTTTACTAGATTGAGATTTGGTGGAAATATTTGTAGCGAAATCGAGGTCATTGAGTTTCTTCCTTGCTTTCTCCATCTTGATCTCTTTCTAAAGTAAAAGGCTCTAAAGTTCATCATAGTCCAACCCATCGATCGGGTCTGGTAAGTACACCACAGTGTTATAAAATGCGGAGGCGTGACGTGAGGTGCTTCTGGCTCTTCCCCCCTTTTGGCCCCTCAATTCTGCTCCATTGGCTTGACAAGAAAAAAGGGAGGGACGACTGCATCTAGATCAAGGAAGGAAGATCCAGATTTTCATCTCCTCAACCCTTGAAGATTGAAAGCTGCTACAACTCTGTGCTACATCGATTAGGGGACTTTGGTCTTCAACTTACTGCAATCAAAAGCATCTGTCAAATTACTAGAGTAAAAAGTTTTTGACAAATCCTTTCAGCCAAGAAGGCCTCCATCAATTTATTACAACCAAKGAACCTTTTACAATTAAAGGTTAGCATTGCGATTCATGTTCAACTCAACAATTGATTGTGAATAAAAGCTTTGTTCACATACAATTGGTCATTGCAAGTTCCTTCTACAACTACAAGTCACCAAGATTTTTTGATCGTGCTTGTGACAAGCTATAAATACACATTTGGGTTGTGTTTGTGACAAGAGAATCAGAGGGTGTTTTTTCGCAAAAATTACAAAAGGAGTTTATACCCCACTTACATTTCTACAAAAAAAAGTTAATTAAATTTATTTAAATTTGTCTTCAATTTTTTATGCTCCAAATTTAATGTGAAATTTGTGTAGACAACAACAAGAGTATTAGGTTATGAATGTTAATTTAATTTGCTTATGAATGTCATTGAATGCAATTCCTATACTTGCTGAATTTGATTTTGTAAAAGAATTTATGAACGGATGACTTGCTTTTTTATTATAGAGGCTACTCAACCTATGGATCCTCTTCTCCACCACAATCTCTTTTACTATTTTGGTGTTATACATTTGTAGGATGAGGTTGTAGTTTCTGGTGAGTCCTAGTGATTTGTCCTTTTATATAGTTTATAATCTAAGCGCTTATTAGTCTGTCTACATGTTAATGCTTAATATCCTTTTTAGGGTGACAAGAGAACTGGTTAGAGATTAACACCCCGGCTTTCTGAAGAGGGTCTAAGGGTTTAATTGGAATTTGATCAATTTATAGTGTCCAACTTTTAGACATGAACAAGTTTGACTATTGACACCTTTTCCCCTCTCTTTCTATTAGACATCAATGCTTACTATATCTCAGTCAATGCAGACATCAATTTATAGTGTTATTTCATACTTCTTCATATTACTCATTTTGATGTTACACAGTGCTTCTTTTTTTTTTTTTTCTTTTGTATTTTCTCTATGCAACAAAATGCAAAAGCTTATCAAGTTTTTTGTTGTATAATTGATGTGGGGCCCATATGATTGATTTGTATTTTGTTGGTGTGTGTCTTGCATGATTCCACGATATATTTGCTATTGAGTATTTTATGTATACCTTTGTTATTATTATTTTGATTAATGAAAAAAAAAATGAATGAGAATGAAATTTGTAACCAAACAAGATAAAATATACTTTCATCCTTTCTAGAAAAGGAATTCATTTTTTATGAAAAAAGTATTTGGTTCGTAGAAATATATATTTTCATTTTGTATATTTTTACTCATTCTTTTCCATCTTAGAATTTGATTTTGGGTAGGAATGAGAAAGAATAAGAGCCAGGCTGGGCTTTGCCTTTTTATTAACAGAATACGTTTTGGCCTGAGCCTAAGCCTGACCTGACCAATGGGCCTTAGATCTTGAGCTCTCACCTAACTCTCATATAAGGTCTGAAGGCTGGCTGAAAATTGGGCAAAAAGTCTTTTTACTCAACAATAGAACTGATTTATTTATATATTTTGACTTGAGAAAAGAAAAAAAGGAACAAAGAAAAAAATTATATTATATATTATTAATATATTTTTTATCATATAAAATATTATTGAGCTGGGTATTTTGAGAAAGCCCGAACTCAAACCACAAGCCTAAAAATCATGTCCAAGCTTGACAAATGTAGCAGCCCGTTCGGTTGCTGGGTCCATGTACAAATCTAATTTCTTGTAAGGGTGCAACTTGGGCAGGCCCAGCTTAGGTCATAAGACTTGGGCCTAACCTTCCCTTGGGTTGGGCTTGGGTTGAGGCTTCGAGTAGCGTAAGCCCAACCCAACCCAAGCCTGCCTGGCATTTTATGAATTATGATACATATATTTATATATGTCTATAGTTTATGTAATCATAAAATGTGTATGTATATTACATATTTATGCTGTCATATCTAAATTATTTTTAATTATTTACAATATGTATACGATTAATTTAAGCTCACAACCATGCACAAACATATATAAATACACACATGTTATGCATTTTATTTATATAAAATATTTTTTACTTGCACGTATTCAAGTATAAACTACAAATTATCAATCATGTATTTATGCATTTAATAATGACATTTGTGCAAGTTATTAATCTATTATATAACCGTGCCCAAGCCCAACTGACCTCTGCGAACCCAGCTCGAGATGTATTGGGTTGAGTTCATGTTGCGCCTCGGTTTGTAAATTTGGGCTTGAACTCGTATTGGGTTAGGTTCGAGCCTGAGGTTTGAGGCTTAGGGCTGGGCTTGGGTTGACCCTCAACTCGACCCAATCTGCCCAAATTGCACCCCTAGTTTCTAGTTGAGATCATTCAATGATCGGTTCAGTCTTATTCTTGATAATGAGACAGGTGGCAAGCTATGCAGGCTCAAACCAATATATGGGCCACGGGCCATACCCGCTGCCTACATGGTGGTTCATAAACCTGTTAACGGGCCGGGCCTCGGCTCGATTTTACAGTGTTGGGGTCGGGCTTCGGGTGAGGCCAACTAAAATTTTGGCAAGCACGAGCCCAGCCCATGACTGGTGCAGAGCAAACCCGTCCGGGGTTCGGACTTCTGAACTTGAAACACGCGACAATGGCGTCTGATGAAACCTGCAACTTGTAGACAAATTAGCACAGACCAGAGAAGCGAGGAGAGACTAGGCGACTGGGCAGGACCGGAGAGTGGAGAAGAGTGGAGACACAAGCACAACCGTCTGTCATGTGAGACAGACGTGCACGAGAGCGAGACAGAGCTAAAACAAAGGAGAATGGAGGCTCTCATAGCCTCCTATGGTGACTCTTCTTCCGACTCCGACGCGTCGCCACCGAGAAGTAAACAACCCCGCCATAATAATTCAAACACTGAAGAACAATCGATCTGTTTGCCGCCACCTCCTCTGGCTCTCCTTGACCCACCTAATTCACTTGGTACCACATCTTGTTTGCTATAATTATCCAACTTCTCCGTTTTCGTCTGTTTCAGTTTCTCCCCCATGAACCGTTTGATCATTTGTTCAAGTGACGATACAATTTCTGACTCTATGTTAACAAGGGCACAGGTTTTAGGGTTTCATCAGATTATTTTTTGTTGGTTTTATTTTCATATTTCTTTTAAGAAATACACTTAATCGTTTTGATTGGTGTTTTATGTCATGATACGGTGGCGGTAAATTTGTTCAGGCTACTTAGAAACTGATCATGGAGGTAGAGAGAGGAGCTTCCCGCGTGTCGAAGGGAACTTTGCTTTACATGTCTTCATCCCAGGTTCGTTATCACTTTTCCTGTTCCATTTTACCACTCGAATTTGTTTTATTCCCTGTCCTGTTGATTTTTTGGTCTGGAGTTTTAAGTGAAATTAACATTGGATATGAAACTGTTTATATGATCTCCATGCGCGAGGATTCATGTTTTTGACATGTTAAACTAGATCATTGATTAAAGAGTTCTCACGCTTCAAATGTGATCTGAGTTCAAACTTCAAAATGCACGTGTTGCTCCTAAGTGCAGCATAAGTGAGAGGGTTGGTAGTTGAGTCTGCCTTTAAATATAATTAACTTTTTTCACTTAATTTTTTTGATCAGTAACTCATAAAAGGAATTTATTAATTTTAAAAGAAAGCAGAGAAACAAGACATTGTGGAAAATACAGAAGATGCCAAGTGTCTAAACCCCCCAAACATATTACAACTGAGCCCAAAACATACTCTGTCACTGAACCCCTTGTTTAGCTAGACCATCAGCCAGACTATTGGCAGATCTCCTAACCCAATTAACCTGAACAAACATGCCCCTAGAGAGCCATTTGAAACGCCTAAGAACATTCACTTAATAGAAAGTCACACACAAAAAGAAAAATTATTACATATATCTGGTTGTTCTTGCTTGAATAAACTTCGTCTTCTACTCAAATGAGGTCTATGTTGGTATATTTGGTTATTTGGTCATACCCCCCTTCACCATTCAAATGAGGTCTATGTCTATTCTAGATGTTATTAATTTATTATAGGACTTATCACGGCCCATAACACCTTTTTCTGTATTTATCACAGCTCCTATTTTCTTATGAGTGTGTTTGGGAGTTTATTTCATTTTTGCATTTTCACAATTCCCAATGCCATTAATGAAGCTAAGTGGGTTAGTTATGTCATTAATGAAGCTAAGTGGGTTAGTTATGTCAAGTTGTCTCTAATTTACCATCAACTATAGACCAATATAGGTATCTCCCTATTCAGAAAATCAGATTTGGCTTTATTGGTCTTTATTGTAGTTGTCTAAATTGCTAAAAGGCATAATGACTTGCAAAATCTTCCTTTAGAGAGTCAAACAGCATCCATTTATTGCTTTTTCTTGGTAGAGAGAAGGGACTACAACTGGGGTCAAATGGCTCTCTTTAAAAGTGAAAATTCCAAATTAACGTCATATACCAAGGTGTGATAAGTTTTATACTCTCTACAATAACTTAGATTAGAAAATATTACTCATACATGGTTGTATGCTGTATCTTGCGAGCCTAAAGCAAAGGAAAAAATTGGAGGAGAGTATGAAAAAAAAATGAATTTGCAGAATAACCACTGAATCAGGTACCTATGGTCTTAGTTGTTTTAGGGAAGTGATGGATTTTGAAATTTGAATCATTTAGATCAAGTTACTGGAACCAGGTGGAGGACCTTGGGTACTGTGGGTTCATTTTGACAGAAAGACATTCTTTAAAGGAAAACTGGTAATCTGGTATTTACATTTATTGAAATGGAAATTAATTGATTATTTGTCATTTACTTGTTGCTGGAATATTTGAGCCATTGATATTCTCTTTTATGAAGCATAGAGTGTTTTTTTTGGTAGAAAAATTACACTTCATTAAAACAGAAGCAACAGGACAGACCAAGCAAACAACACTGGAAAAAAAACTAAACAAGAAAATCCAAACAAGCATGAACAAACAACACAGAGGGGAAGCATCTGTCCAAACTTCACCACGCACCAGCCCTCTCTTAGCAGTGACATGCGCAGACCTATTGACCAAGCACTTTGAGAAAGCAAATTTAACATTCAAACTTCCAGCAAGAGATAAACAGTCCTGAACAACAAAAAACACCTCAGCTGCACAGCCACCATCTTTCTTGTTTAACCAGTCAACTAGAGATTTTTTATCATTTTCTGGATATAAAGGGATTTTGCAAGAAGTAAGCCTTCCAACATGACCTGGGCTTCAGCCTGGAGGGGGAACTAGCTGGGACATGCTCACACAACAAGGCTAAGACAAAACCCCCACTGCCATGAACCACAATACCTAGTGCAGTTGATGAGGAGCAAACAAAAGCTCCATCGATATTGATTTTTACCCAATCACTCGGAGGGGGGAGCCAAAAAGATACTGAAATGCAATCCCCATTAGAATGGGGCTGTGTTTGTGATGATGAGCTACCATCCTGAACTTCCTGAGCCTATCTCTCCACCTGTCAATAACACAAGCAGGATCAGACTTAGCATCATTAAAGACTATACCATTCCACTGCAACCAGATATTCCACAACATGAAAGTAGAAAAAGCTTTTTTAGCTCTTCCTTCCTTTCTTCATGAGCATTACAGATTGAGAACCAAGATTTTAACCAATCTTTTAGAGTTATATCTCTAGGCCAAAAATGAGCTTGTAACCCAATATAACTTCAAACCAGCAGCTGAGGCTGCATCAGAGAAGCAAAGAGCATGAACAATGGTTTTTCTTCTTTGTGACAAACTGGACACATAGGATCAACAGATGTTTTGCGCCTGACAGGGTTTGACTTCACAGCAGTTGCATTAGCACAGCATTTCCAAAGGAAAGCTTTTAGTTTTGGTGGGACTTGAAGGGCCCACAAGAAGGATCAGAATTGCTTATTTTTCCTTTGCTGATATTCAGCACAATCTGCCTGGTTTTTGGTCACAAAGTAGGCTGAACTAGCTGTAAAGGAACCTTTTTTATCAGCTGTGTCAGGGATGAAGATCGAATGGATTAGGTTAGCATTCCAGGTCTTAGTATTTGGGTAAAATAAGTCTCACACTTGAGCCACATCTTGACCATTTTGGACAGGACCCATAACTCTAAACCCTGATACACCTGGAATCCAAGGATCCTTCCCAACTGGTGTGCTCCTTCCTGACCCAATGGACCAGCAAGCTCCTTAAGAACTTCTCTACCCTCTATATGCTTCTCCACTTCTCCACTTCTCCAAACCCAAGACCCCGAGGTGGGCAAAGAATCATTTAAGAAAGATCTATTCTTGATATACTTTGCCCTAATAACATTGGTCCATAAACTCTCTTCCCCCCCGGGAGCCTGCTAGCTTTGCCAGAAGAGCCCTATTAAAGCATGCTGGCTTTGAAACCGAGGTCCCCTGCGAGCTTGTTTTTATTCAACTGACTCCAATTAACCCATCTTACACCCTTTTCCTTGCTTCTAGATCCCTACTGAAATGTTCTCTGAAGCTTCTTTAAATTTTCACACACTTGTAGGCAAAAGAAAGCACTACATGCAGTAGGTGGGAATAGCAATTATAACAGCTTTAATTTAAACTTCCTTACCTGCTTGATTAAGCAACTTACCTTTCCAACTTTGGGTTTTCTTCTCCACTCTAATAGTTTTAGTTATGAAATTGGACATATTTGATTTTGATCTACCGAAGCGAGAAGTTTAACCAAGATAGATGACAGGCTTCTTAACCTGTTTTAGGTGCATGCTTTTAGCCAACATCTTTTGAATTTCCCCCTCTACTGGATCTGCCTTCGAGAAAATAAAGCTGTCATCTACAAATAACAGATAAGAAATAATTGAACAGCCATGGTTAAGCTTCACACCAGAAAATTTTCTATCTTCAACCAATTTAGATAGCATTTTTTATAGTGCATCCGAGCGAAGAAGGAAGAGATAAGGGGAGATTGGGTCCCCTTGCCTAAGGTCTCTACTAGGGATGATTATCTCACCTGGAGAACCATTTATAAAGCATAGGTTTGATCTAGCTATTTCTTGCCTTAATGGATTGTCTTGCATGTCTTTGAAGCCCTGAGAACATTTTCATGCCTTTTATTTTATTTACTAGATATTGAAGAGGAAGGTGAACTTGATATTTGTTGTGAGGATTATTTAATTGTTATTTTATAGTTACTGTTAGTGTGCTGTCAGCTTAAGATGCTGTCAGCCAGTTAGTTTCTTTCTTTCTTATTAGTTTGTTACTAGGGAGTGCCACCAGGGGCATACTTGTAATCTCCCATTCCTTTTATATTAAGTTAATATAAATAACTAAACTGGCCCCAGCCAGAATAGTTTTTTGTTCGTGTCTCTCAATCATATCTTCCTCTT